GGGGCTGTCTATTCAGTAGGAAAACCTGAGACTGATAGGATTAGATCTGCATAACTCTGCATAAAACAGTAATCCAGAAGAAACAAAGGATTTTCCAGATGCTTCATCCCATCTCTTGCAGCCTAAAAAGTTTCCTCCTTCCTGTAAGAGACCCATGCTTTTCATGACTCAGTTTCATCTGAAGAAGGCTGCCATGGAATTGGGAGAACCTTTGTTAAAAGAAAAAAGGGGATCCGCCAAAGAGAAGCGCTACAGGCCTACACCTGCATAAAAAAGGTAAAGGTTCCCTTGCTCGAAAGCCAGTCGAATCCGACTCTAGGCTTGCGGTGCTCATCTCCGTTTCAAAGCTGAAGAGCCAGCGCTGTCCGAAGACGTTTCCGTGGTCATGTGGCCGGCATGACTAAACACCAAGGCGCACGGAATGCTGTTACCTTCCCACTGAAGTGGTACCTATTTATCTACTTGCAATTTCTTGCTTTCGAACTGCTAGGTTGGCAGGAGCTGGAACTAGAGACAGGAGCTCACTCCGTCATGCGGCAACTCGGGTCTTGAACTGCTGAACTACTGACCTTCCACAGCCTGCAGTTCAGCATCTTAACCACTTGAGCCACTGCAGCTCATACTGCCACACATATCAATTCAGTGCCTCAATCCTAAATGTACTCCTAGGTAAGAAGTTCCATTAATCAAGCTTCAAGCGATTCAGAGCACAAGAGACTGGCACCTGAAAATTAACTCTTGGTTAAGGGGAAAACCCAATAGCTGCTCTAAAGCACGCACGCACTCCCGAAGGTTCCTATTTTAGTTAAGCGTGGTGTCTGTAATCCTATTGGCCCCCAGCGTACAAGATCGTAATGCAAAATCCAGGCCAGAACACGGTGATTTAAGATCATTTTGTTATGACAGATGGCGGTTTTTGACGGGAGGGAGAGAGGGGAAGTTCACGGTGATAATATTACTCCAGTTCCCAGCATGGGGGATTACACATCCCAAGTAAACTAGCTCTCGGCTGTTCGGCAGCAACAGAGCAAGAGCAGGCTTCAGTTGAGTCAAGCCACCCCCTTGGATCTTGGGACCAGTTGGCACCTTCTTCCTCTCCAATCACCTTCTGGCCATTCCAACTGCAACTCTCACAGGCATTTATTCTAAAGAGGAAACTGTATTCTAGTAAAGGGGCAAAGGGCTTTTCAGTTGGAACGGAAATTAGAAGCCTATGCATTTGCACAGAAGAGACTGGCACGGGTAGGAAATTTCCAAATAGAGAACTACCTTGTTGCTTAACAGGAAGGCTTAGGGAAGAACAAACTTAGTCCCATGGCTGCCCTGACTATACTTCTTTCACATTCATATCCATGCTTTGCCAAGCAGCTACCCCATTTCATCTTTAGAACAATCCTGCAAGATAGGTTAGGCTGAAGCATAATGACTGGCTCATGTAAACATGGGAAGTTTCATGAGAGAGTCAAAATATACATTCTGAAGAAATGGCCTTGCTATACTTGTGTTCTGGAAGAGCTCTGCTTCAAAACATGGGCAGAAAACGAATCTCCTATAGTGAGACACCCCCCCCCGTGAACTCACCCCCCTCCCCAAACACAGGACTACCACACCAGGGAGATTTCCAGCCCAGCCATCTTCCTAAACGTAAGGGGAAAGTTTCACAGACCACGTCACAGCTTCTTACCATGCCTCACTACTCTGACATTCTATTTATTTACTACCTTTATACCCCCACGTTTCTCCCCCATGGGGACCCAAAGTGGCTAACATAACTGTTTTACACTTATAACAACCCCATGAGGTAGGTTAGGCTACAGCAGGGGTGTTAAATGCATTTGTTTTAAGGGCTGGATCTGACATAAATGAGACCTTGTTGGGCTGGGCCATGTGTGTCATAAAACGTAATGCCAGGTAGCAGAGATATAAACTTTATAAAGGGCACAAACACAAAGGGTTTCTTTTTAGTTAAAATAAAAACATGCTTAAAACATTAGCACTCTTGCAATATTTTGTTTATTTAACAGTGTCTGATAACCGACACCTCTTGCTCTGAATTATTGCATCAAAATGTCTGTGCTGTTGCAATCTTGGGTATGCTGTTCAGGTGTGTATCTTTAAGCTGCAAACCTACAATGATGCAGCAGCATTGGAAGCAGCATTGGAAGAAGCAGCAGAAGACAGCCAGTTCCACTGATAGTTCCACTATCAGTTCCACTGATAGAAACCCTCGGGGGGCCTAATCCGGCCCCCAGGCCACATGTTTGACACCCCTGGTCAAGAGTGTGTGATCAAGCCAAGGTCACCCAGCAAGCTCCCATGGCAGAGTGGAGATTTGAACCTGGGTCTCCCGGATTCTAGTTTGACACTCCAACCACTACACCACACTGGCTCTAAATCGATTTGTTAAGGGAAGACAGAATCTACAAGTTTTAAAAGTAATTAAAAAAAAATTGCTTCCAACCAACTCACAGGTGGTATACAGGTGGTGTACTGTTTCCATTAGTTAGAGCATCCAACCTGTACTTCAATAAAATGGAAGAAGTCCAGCCCATCACCCCTCTAACACCATTAGGTGAAGAAACAAAACAGCACATTTAATGCGGCTAGGTATGTCCAGCTGTGGAACCTCTGTCCAATATAATTGCAAAGACCTCCCACCAAGCTTCAGAGAGGCAACATAGCAGTTCTATCATTCACAGCAGATAATTTAATAAGGACATTCTCCTTTACTTATCTTGGATTCAAATCTGACAGCTCTCCAGCTTCTGGCTTGGTAAACTATTAATAATGGTCTATTTGCTTTTATCCAGTACTGCCATAACAAGAATCATTGAAGATACTCAATCTTACCTATTTGAATGTGATTATCTGCAAGCCAAAGCAGGATACCAACCAGGTAATTTAATCATCCCTAGCAGCAAATACAATTTCCCCCACTGTCCAAACTAGTTAGGATTGGCTTGTGTATATGCCAAGTCACTGCAGAAAGTGAAGAGAAGTGGTGAATTCTTTTCATTAGTAAAGTAGCTAATTGTATCCCTCTGGAACATAGACTATAGCCTGTACCGAACATATATAGGAATGTATAATCTTTTTCTAAGATTTTCAAGGCTTGCTAACTCCCGCACAATACCTAGGTCTACCAATAACCCTTTGTAGTGCTTCATATACTAGCACAAGACAGCCACATTCCAAACCCACTGGGAGCGGCAAGGATTAGTCCAGCACTGATCCAATAACACTAATTTTCAAAAAAATCACTGACAAATTTTCTGCCTTGGTAACATACCACAAAAGCAGCACTCAAGCTAATCGCAGTCCTTGGAAAAGAGAGATTACAAGACTGCAGCGCTGCTTTGTTCAGCCACATTGATTCAATATCACTTTGTAATGTGAACTCCGAAGCGCCTTGTGCATGAGTAAGCATTTCTCATTGAACAACTATGCTCGCTATGTTGTTTTGGTGATCTCACACAGAACAAGCGTGGCTCTTGGAAACACAAGCGTTTCACGAAATGCTATCCTTCATACTGGAACCCAGAACAGCAGATCCCCACCAAAACACCAGGTTCGATCCAGCTTCCACGTGGATGAGGACCACAGCTCAGATGTGTGGTACCCCAATCTGGATAGCCCAGGCTAGGCTGATATCATCAGATCTATGCTATGAGATGCTAAGCAGGGTCAGCTCTGGCTACTATTTGGATGGGAGACCACCAAGAGAGTAAAGGGTCTCTACGCAGAGCCAGGCAATGGCAAAACACCTCTGAATGTCTTTTGCCTTGAAAACCCTACAGGGTCACCATAAGTCAACTGGGACTTGATGGCAAAACAACAACAACAGAAAGGCAAGAGACCAAGTTTTTGAAGTAGTATTAATAGTACTAATATCAAAGTACAGGGAGAGTTAGACTTCCACAGGATACGGATTGCAGCTCCTTACAAAAAGTGCTTTGTTCCTCACAACACTTTTTAAAACTCTGGTTAAAAAAAAACTACTTTGACGAAAACAAAAGGGCAAGACTTCCACAGAGCTCCCAAATTATAAGGTTTTGTTAAGAGTCGTAATTTTGACAACACCATAATGCTCCCAGCTCTTAAGCCCTGCTAGTGCATCCTAGGAACGAGGAAATGCCACTGAGAAGGACTTACTCCTAAGCAAGTTCGGTCAGATTGCATAGGGCTGCACAGCTGCTAACCCAGATGCACTGAATCACACAGGATTGCAGCCTTCATTTCTTGCCTAGGGAATAAACCACTTAAGTGATTTAATTATATCACACCCTCGGCCTTTCAGGAAACTACATCATCATAAACAGTTTAAAAGGCAGGGCAAATTTTATTCACCCCACAAACAGACTGCTACCAATACACACACCTTTCCCCTCCAAATGTAAATGTCACCACAAAATACAAGTTCAGAAGAAGAAAACCCCCCCCATCAAAAGTCCAGGCTTCCCATGAACAGAAACTGCAGTACAAGAATTCCTTACATTCCTTTGCAAAAGCCTTTAGTTGGCAACACAGAGTAGGTTAGAAGTCACCGGCAGTAGAGTGTATCCCACTAGAAATACTACTCCAGCTCAAAAGATGTCAGGTCCATACGGCAGGTTCTTCAAAAAGAGAAGTCGTTTTAAAAAGGAGCCCTGGAAACACACCTGCTCTTAAATACACTCCGTCACCTTACCACTTAGCTTCCTCTGGAAAGCACCTGGAAGCTCAAGGGCAGGGTCCCCTAGCCCCTTAAGACTTTAAAGACAGACGGGGGGGGGGCAGAGAGAGAAACGCGGCCTTAAGGAAGGGAGTCGCAAGTCTCATAAAGCCACCCACCAAAGCGCCGAAGTTTCCTTCCCCTCTTACCTCTGCTAACCCTCCCCTGCCGGAGCGGACAAACACCTCGGGAAAGGCCTGGGCGACCAAGGCACCCCCTTCCGAGAGCTCACCCCTCTCCCCAGCCAGGACGGAATGGCGCGAGTCCCCTTCCCTCTCCTGTTACTTACTCACGAGGGGGGCATGGTTCCGCGTCTCCTTCGCTTCGCCCCCCCCCCCGGTCGCCCCCCTTTAGCAGCGGCGCCGCTTGCCCTCCTCCAACCAAGCCCTACCTCTTCCTAGCCAGGCGACCGAGGCGGGTTCTGCCCGGCGGCTGAGCCAATACGCCGGATTTCCCCGCAGCCGCTCAGGCCACGTCCGCTCAATCAGCAGCCGGGGAAGGCGGAACTTCGGGGAGGCCCGCGGTGGAAGGCGGGGCCGCTGGCCGAACCAGACGCGCGGGCAGCGGCGGAGAAGGGAGCCGGGCTGCGGCGGGGTGACTTCTTCCTGGCGAGCTCCATGTGACTGCGCCAGAGGTTCCCAGCTGTGCGCTATTTAACTCCGCCAGCCCGGGCGCTGCCGCCTTCGGGAGAGCGCTGCCGGGGTCGAGGCGGAGCCGCGCGCTTAAGGAGACAGTGGTGGATCCAGGCAGGGCGCTCGCCGTCTGAAGTGGGCTTTCGTGCGTTGCGCCTTTTCTCCCTGCAGTCGGCTGCGCAGAAGGGAAGAGGCGGTCTCCCCGGAGATGTTGGAGAGCCGCCGCCGCCGCCGGGCGATGCTGTTTCCCGCGCCCCGAGATCCTCTCCAAGCGCCCGGGCTTCTTGCAGACTCGACGGCTTGGTGAGCAGCGCGGGGCTCCCGGCGAAGGCGCGCTTGGGGGGCTCCGGCCATGCGTTGCGCGGTCCGGAGGCGGCTGTCGAGTAATTCGGGCTGACCTGCGGGAGGCGAAGCGGGCGGAGAGGAAAAGGAGGAGGCGGAGGCGCGCCGTCGGTCGCCAGCAGCTTGCCCGCCGGCCCGGCCGCCCTCACCAGCGTGCGCCATGGTGAAAGAGGAGTGCAAAGCGCTGCTGGACGCGCTCAACAAAGTGACTGCCTGCTACCGGCAGCTGGTGCTGACCATCGGGGGCACCTCGGACTCGCAGAACCTGCGCGAGGAGCTGAAGAAGACCCGGCAGAAAGCCCAGGAGCTGGCGGTGGCCAACCGGAACAAGCTGACGGCGGCCTTGCGGGACAAGACGGTCAGCAAGGAGGACCGGGCGGAGTTCGAGCGGCTCTGGGTCCTCTTCACGTCCTGCATGGAGATCTTGGAGACCGACATGAAGAGGGCCCTGGAGCTGGGCCAGGAGTTCCCCCTCAACGTGCCCAAGAAGCACCTGATGCAGACGGGCATGAGCGGCGGCACCTCCGGCGTGGCCGCCCGGGCCATGAGCGTCCAGAACATGAAGTACGACGCCGACCACAACATCGACGTGGTGGACCTGAAAGACCTGGAGAACGAGATCAACCAGGTCGGGGAGATGATGTACGAGATGGAGATGAAGGTCAACGTCCCGCAGTGGACGGTGGAGGCCAAGCAGGACCCCGGGGCCGAGCTCAACTCCGCCATCAGCGTGGCCGCCTCCTCCATCGGCATGATCGAAGTGGAGAGCAAGTCCTATTGCAATGCTCGCAAAGCGGTGGCCGGCTCCGTTTTCTCGGCCGTCCTCCTGATCGCCGTCGTCCTGGCGGTGTGCGTGGTGAAACTCTCCTAAGGGCTGAGGTGCAGGACCCGGGAAAGATGATCGGGGGGAGGGAGAGGAGAAGGGGTTTTGCACCCTGAGAATACAGTTTTTTGCTGAGCCAAGGATGTACCAGAGTGGATCTCCCTGCTGGAGAGGGAAGGTGGAATCTGATCGGACCCTCAGTGGGGTGGGGAAAGATCTTTCTTCGCAATATTCTAGCTTTAAAGAACAATTGATACAAGATGCACCTCCCTTTGCAAACAGAGGAGAAAAACACACTGTACGTTTACCTGGGAGTAATCACCACTGAACGCCATGGGATTTACTTCTGAGTAGACATGCCTAGGATTGAGCCAAGCATCTGTTTGCTGGCCTCTTTGTGGTTAATAATATGTGGGTATTAAAACTGCCTGCTGGAGCAGGGATTTGACTGCTATTTATAGAGGACTATTCTCAGTAACTAAACACCAATTGTTCACCAATTGGCTGCAGTTTGCGTCCCTTTTTATCCACAGCACAGGATTTGAGGGTGGGCATGAATTAGGTGGCAAAGTGGAAGGACTTCAGGGATTTATATATTTTTCCTCCTACGAACATAAAGGATGCGGAGTCCTGAGAAAAACAAATCTCTTATCCTTCAAAAGGAAGTAACCAACTGTATTTTTTTATCCTTTGGAGCTAAGGTTGAGAATCTGGTGTTTAGAACCAAATGGTGTGCAGACCTGAACTGTATGTGCAGGAACAAATGCAAGGCAATCCAGGTCTGCAGAGAAAACGATTTATACATCAGTTACTGAGATCTTAAGACATCCAGTTTTCAGTTCCCTATTTTATTACATGTTCTTGGGCAGAGCCCCTGGTTCATTGTTAAAACCCATAAGCCCATTCCGGGGGGAAGGGGGCACACAGGTTCATTCCCCCCCCACTCCCATTGGGTTAAAGGCCATAGGTGCTACACTTCTGACCATCCTTACCAGAAAGTACGCCACATTGTATTTAGTAAGGTTGTCTTCCAGCTATGTGTATTTGTAATTTGCTTCACTGGTATTTAAGACTGAAGTCTTCTGCATAATAACCTTGGGGAATGCCTCAATGGAATGTATTTTCTAATGAACAAAAAGGATTGTGCTGTACAACTTCTCTGAATCATGGTTGCTACACTGCAATGCAACAGTGAGACTGGTGAATCCATAAGGAAGATGCTAATCATGTTTACTCAGAAGTAAGATAAATAGGACTCCTTACTAAGTGCTTAAGATTGAAGTCTTAAATTCTCATGCTCTTGTCTGAACACTTTCCAGACAGCACCTTCGGGATCACACTGTGATCTTGGGTTATGAACACAGTTGCATGGAAGTTAAGTTCCACTCATGTCAAGAATGAAGTGTCAGGGTGATCTAGAAGTAATTTACAGCTTTATTTAAATTTAAAAAGTATACAGGCCATTTGAAATCATGTAAGATTCAATCTCCCGTTTGTTTCTACAGTAGAAGTAGATGCTTGGCCTCACGTTGACAGTCAGATGTTTGCACATGTGCATCTCTTAATGGGATCTAAATAGGTACCTGCAGGACTTGAGAAGATTAGAACCAATCTTGTAATCTTGACATACCCAAGTGTGCTACTGTGACTTGGATAGCAGCATTTGGGTCTGTAGCTGACAGGAGGCCCATGATACTTGAGAGTCTTAAATGTAATAAGAATGTAAACCTTATAACAAATTTTCCTCCTTTACGAAGCACACACAGAACACACACACATGATCTGAGATTTATCAGCTTCCAACTCAGATATTATATCTAAAGTACATTTCTTTATGGATTATATAAATCTGTTATTTACAGTGGATTCATGAAGTACACCAGAAATGCCTGTTTTCCTGAGTAGGAAAGGCTCTGCTCATAAAGATTTTAATCTGAAGAGTTGCTGCCTTTTAGTCACAATTACTTGTTGAAGACAGTTTATTCAGCAAGCAGCTCTCTTATTCAAAATCATATGGACATTTTTCAATATAGAATTCTAACTTATTCAAATAACATTTCCCCCTAACTCTTAAGCAGCAACAGGGAGTAGTTTACAGGGCAATCCCAAACATAGTTAAACTCTTCTATCCATTAGGATTAGAAGGGCATAACTCTGTTTAGAAGGATTTCGCTCTGTTAATGCACATAAAACACATTTTTACACTTGCTCTTAATAAAGAGTGAGATTGTTAATTGAAATAAGAGAGAGTTTACAGGTTAAAATTGCACTCTGCAGACTTTATATGCATGAAAACAAAAACACTCATCCAAACCCCTAGGTCTAAATTAAGGTCTTGTGTTACTTTCTCTAACAGTGATGATGTATCTTCTGTGCCTGGGTTAGCAGTGATAAATGCAAACCATGTGGTCTGTGATTCCCTAGCTCAATTTTTGGCATTTCCAGTTAAATGATTTTAGGTAACACAGCTGGGTTACCTCTTAAAACCATTGAGATGCTGTCGTAGATTATGCTGACCGGGATGGTCCAATTGTAGCTCATTATGGCTTTGGATCCACTAGTCGTTTTTGCAGACAGGAGGGATTTCCATCTATGGAGCATGATCTCTTCTCCTCCCTGCTTCTACTGTAGCCTGAAGTGCCCCTCCTGGCGAACAGAGGACCCCCCCCTCTCCAGGAACACCTGGGGGGGGGTCAGTGAAATTCACTTCCCCTTCTGTTCACAGAAACCCTCTGGTGGTTCCATGCCTATATCTAGATCAAACTATTAGCCATCACTAATCTTACACCTGCCCTGACCTGGATAGCCCAGGCCAGCCCAATCTGCTCAGATCTCGGAAGCTAAGTCGGGTTAGCCTTGGATGGGAGACCTCCAGGGAATACCAGAATTGGGATGGAGAGAGAGGCAATGGCAAACCACCTCTGAACGTCTCTTGCCTTGAAAATCCCACGGGGTTGCCATAAGTCAGCTATGACTTGATGGCACTTTCCACTACCACCAGACTTACACCTCCATAGTAAGCACAGTCGCTCTGAAGTAAAGGCACTAAACAACTAGCCAAACTGTTCTATTGGAGTACTTTAGTATTATTACTGCTGTTTCCCCTGGTTTTATCATATTTTGTAACTGCTGGAATTTTAGCCCCCTTAAATCCAAAGAAAAAGGCAGAATATAAATATTTTAATTTATTAATTTAAGGCAAGTATCTTAACCACAGTGCGTGTTAGTAGGTCCTATTGCTTTCAAAGGAACTACTGTATCCCATGTTTAGGGTTGGGATGCTAGCGCCCTTAACATCTTTGCACCTGGATATGTGCAACCCTGAGTCTGATGGAACTTAGTAAGTGTGCGTAGGAGCACAGCGTGCATTGAAATGTGGGATTAATTTAAGAATACATTAGCACAGGATCAGGAAGCTGAGCGGCAATCCTCCGTAAACCCCACTGAGAACAGTAAGACTTACTTCTGAGTAACCATTCATAGGAATAGGCTGCCAGTGTTAGCCAATATGGTCTGCATTTCTCTGAACATGTTTAGGTACAATTGTAGTTTTAATCAGCTATTAAGAAATCATTGAACCAAAATAGTTGGCTTTAAACCAATTTGCTGACCAATCCTGAATACATTTACTGCAAAGTCTACAACAGAGCCCTCGCTAAACATCTCATTCTAAGCAAGCTAATAGACATTTCCAGTTTAACCTGTTCAGGATGAGGTTGCCCATCAGACTGATATTTATGGAGAATATTTTGTTTATTTACCAACTGACTTTACTGTGCACAGATGGGGGGAGGCTTATGACTGACTTGTTTCTACCCAAATATGTTTACAATTGACCCATTCATCTTCCTTAAGTCACATTCTTTAGATTAAAAGGCTCCTGGTGCACTTTTAAGAAGCTTATAAGTGCTGTTCAAACAACTAAAAGACTGCGAAGGGTTAATTCTTCACAGAAACAGAGAGCCTTGAGTGACAGGTTGCTCCAAGCAATCTGATTGGTTAGCATCAGTTGAACAGAGAAAAGATTTCTGAACTGGATAGTGAGGAGAATTCATTCAAAATTCAGCCCTGACTGAGAGCAGTTTAAGAGAGACAGGAGAACTACGGAAAGTTGGCCAGGACGAGTGGGTAGTTAGACAGAGATTCCCATTTGGGCCAAGGGAAAGGGACAGATCTTCAAGAGAGAGAAAGAATTTCCCTACCCAGTCTAAACAGGGTGATACCTCTGAAGACTACAGAGATCCCAGTTCTAGTGTGGTTAGAAACTGCCTTTGGAGACATTAAGAGTCAGTTAAAAACTCAAGAGGAGTACTGGTATTTCCAGAGAAGGGGGTTGGGTACTGGAAAGAATGTACCAGCCTTCTGGAAACCAAAGCTTTCTGGAAATCAAAAGAGTCAGAGAATACTCAAAGAAAGTGTACCCCGGGGCCAAAGCCATACTGACTGCAAAGTAACCCCTGAACTGCCATAAAACGGCCATAAATCTATGCAGAAGGTACCATTAAAACCCAATGGTCAAAGAAAGTGAAAGTAGCATGAAATGTAGAGGGGAATTTCTATTCCAGCGTGGGTTTGTTAAAACAACAGAGGGAAAAGCCAGTGCAGAATTGCCCCTTGTCTCTGAGGGAGGGAAGTGGATGGGGGCCATCATACCATCCATTAGCCAGGGCAGTGAAACCAGCTGTGTGTGTTGCAGGAACAATTGCAAAATGTTCGGTTGAGATCAGAAAATCTCTTAGCTTTGTGCAGGTTGCTGCCAGCTGAGACTTACAGTGCTGTCCTAACAACACTTTGCTGGGAGAGCGAGCCCCACTATATAGTCTTGAGTAGAATTCTGGGTAGACTTGCAAAAGTAAGTCCTTCTCTGTTGAGTAAGCAAATGCACTTGAGGGCAGAATTGTGTCTCATCTGCAGTTCTATATGCCCCCCACTAATACTTTAATCTTTCACACTGGAGCAATGTAGTCTGTGATATCGGGGGGGGGAGGGGGGGGGGGGGGGGGGGAGATGATCTGACACAGGAGAAGAAAAAGCATTTAACTCCTTCCCTTGGTCCCATTTTCTGACTGAAAACTGCTCCCCCCAAAAGCAGGTCATACTAAATTTTCCTTCAGAAGAGAGGTAACAGCAGTTTAGGGGTGATGGCAATTTTCAGCTGGAAAACAAAACAAGGAGAAAGAGCTAAATACACCTCTTCCCCCACCCCGAATCCCCTATTGACATAATATATGAAAGAGAAACCCTCAAAAATAGATCATAGAACGACATGTAACTGGCAGCTGACTCCTACAATTGCAGCCTTGCTTACATTCAAGTTTGGGGGGAAAGGGTACTGAGGATTGAATTGGGGCTGTTATTTGAAACTACAGAGATAATACCCAAACTGTGTAGATTTATTGGTGATACTGTGCCTGACTAGCTGTACACAGACAGGCTCAAATGGCTGATATTGAGTCTGACCGTCATTTCACGTAAACTGAGAGGAGGCCAAGGCTATGTTCATGACTGCAAGGGCTAGACATTTCTCTGCCATGTGACCCAGGGGCATCTTTTATGCCTGCACATAAAGCTCTCTTACTGGTTCATAGATTAAGTTGTGAAACATGGAAGGGGAAAACCACAGGAGGATCATCATTCTGCATAGTTGGATGGCTGTTAACAAGTATCAATCAAGAACAAGTTCTACCTTCTTTGCTCATTCATTCATAGCTGGAGGATCACTATTGTACTCTTAAGTTTTGAAACAACTGAGAATTCCACATCTAGGAAGCTAAAGGGCTTTGGTACCCACTATAATTCCTGCATCTGATGAAGGGAGCTTTGCCTTTTGAAAGCTTATACCCTGAAAATGTGGACTCTAAGGTGCTACTGGACTCAGATCTAGGTTTCTAAAGTGTAAATCTGCCCCATTTGTTTTGCAGATGATCCAGGAGCTTTCTCTGTAAATTTGTGACTGAACAAGAGGTATTGCTTGGGCAAATAACTCTTTATTCTGCTGTGACTAATTCAGACTCCTTTCCCCAGAACA